TGTCTGATCCACTAACATTAAACTTTTTCATGACTTTTACAAAACTGGGAATGAGAAAATGAAGCCTAAGCTACTCTTTGTTTATCAAGTGAAAACAACATTTTGAAACCAGCTATAGCCTGTCAGTTTAGTTCATCTTCAGTTCGATGTCTTCTCTGAACAACTATTTTTGTTCACAGATAGAAGAATGGAATAGGTCAAAATTGGATGCACATGATTTTTCCCTTATCAAATTGGATAGATGGATTTCTTAATGCTTATAATTTCTATTCATAATAGTTGTCATATGAGTTGGGTTTTCATTTGTGCTTGAAAGCCAAAAAACTTTCTACTCCTGAATTTCAAAATTATAGTTGATGGGTTGGAGAGTGCTAAAAGTATAAAATTGTAATTTGAAATCAGTATTAGAAATTGTTATGAGAGCATTGCAAATATTGATTGTTATGCATGTTATTGTTTGACCTATGCTTAATATGATGTTTTTGTGCAAGAAGAAATGGCAAAAGGCGGCCATGGTTTGATTGTTGGTAAACAATGAAAAGAATAAATTTTAGGACAATATTTAGGATGTAATTCAACTTTGAAAGTTCCAACGACATTTTTTTGTAAAGTAGTAAGGATGTTTTGTGTAGATACTCTTAAGTTTATAAATTATGATAGAAACTTTTGTTAGATTCAATGTTCAATGCAAAAAAAAAAAAAAGCTCCATGATGATATTATGTTGCCATTTCATTAAATTGTTCTAAATTTGCATGAGCATACTTGTCATATTATATAAATTTTCAAGATAATAAATGATTTTTCATGAAAAATGATACCTTATAAATGATTGTAAATGGAAAAAATATTTAGGAACCTTATTTTTCAGGATATCCATTTCATATATTCTAAAAAATTGGCTCAAATAGGGCCTGTAAACATTTGAGACTTTTGTAAACACTGTATTTTTGTCAAATATTTTTTAAATTAATGAAAATAATAATAAATAACTAAAAAATATAAAATATAAAAATAAAATTTAATCCTTTTTAGGATTATATTTTCAAAAAAAATTTGATGTAATTGATAGAGCTTAATTTTATTTTAGATAAATCTTTTGAGTTAGGATTTTATTTCTTAAACAATAATCAAAAATATAAAATGAAATTAAAAAAATAATTTTAACAAAATCAAAAAAAATTATTTAAATCTTTTAAAATCTCTCCTAAATTATCCCAATCAATCAAAAATATTAGGAATCAATTTTTTTGAGACTCAAATATTTTTAAATTTCTCTCCTTAAATCTTTTTGTTCTCTATTTAAATATATATATATATATATATATTTTAAAATTAAATTTTTCTTTCTCTCCTTTAATCTAATTAAAAAAGCATTAAAAAGAATGGCAAAAAATGCTGGACATGCAAGTATAAAGAGAGCAGCTCTGAAAACTACTTTTGACCAAGCGCAAGAGCTTCACAGAGCAAGCACACACAGTCATGAAATGCCAAAAAGAAAAAAACAAGATCAAACTTGCGTGCACAGAGAACACGCAAATAGAAACCAAAGTCACAGACAGCCACATCACAGAAGAGAAATATAGAACATGAGCAAAATATAGAAAGCAAAAACGCAGAAAGAAAAATAGAGCAGAAGGAGTAGAAACAAAACAAACATATAGCCAAACACAACATCATACATACACGAAACACATGTAGCAAACAAAACACACGAAAAGCTTCACTTTGCAAAGTGAGAGATGCATGTGACCGAAAGGGATGAGAAACAGAGCACAGAGGGAGAGATCGAGTGCATAAAAAATAGACAAGAAAATAGAGACAAAAAAAGAAGAGAAAAAGCCGAGGAAGCAAAAACAGAGCATCAAGACGAGGAAAACTGAAGGAAGGAGAGACTGAGGACGGACAAGAGAAAAAAATGGAGAAAAAATAGAAAAAGAGAGCATGAGAATGAGGGCAGAAAAATTGAGAGGGAGGAAGGAGAGAACATAGACATAGCATCCACGCAAGAGGAAGATCTAGAGAGAGAGAGCATAAAAAACAGAGCATGGGAAGCGAGATTGAACGAGAAACAGAGCAAAAAAGGAAAGAGAGAAACCGACAAGAGAGAAGAAAAAAAACTAGACAGAAAATAGAGTAGAAAAGACTAAGAATAAGAGAGCACGAGGAGAGAAAAAGCAAAGAACGTTGGTCACAGGACTTTGGGCCAGATGAGAAAACTCAAAGAAGAGAGAGATTGAGGAGAATGAGAGAGCAGAGACTAAAGTGAGCAAGGACGAGCAGAAAAGAAGAAGAAAGCTGGACAAGAAATTAAAAAAAAACAGAGCAAAAGAAAGAGATTTAGAAGGGGAGAAGCAAAAGCTGAGAGCGTGACAATTTAGGAGACTATGGTCTGGATATGATAAGCATAGTCAACCTTTAGACTCATAGCAAAGAGCATTGATCTTAGCCTGATCTCCGAAGGTGAGGTCTGAATTGATGGTAAGATTTCTATCTTAGATCTCTTTAGTTACAAACAATTGCTAGTTGTTAATTTACTCCATAAGCTTTTGAGTATATTTTGCTTCAAATATCACCAATCAGTATATTTATAAATATGTTTCTTCTAAATACTAAAGCCACTGATTCTTTTTATTATCTTCTTATTTATTTACATGCTCATTATGTCACCATTGGAAAGGAGTTCCAATTTTTTTGGATGAATTTTGAATTTTGTAATTGAGATACAATAAAAATAAGAGAGCATATGCTTGTTTGTTACTTATTTATTGTGTGAAATTTTAAGAATTTTCGCAGGCATTTAAAATGATCTCATACCATGTAAATCAATAAAATTTTACAGGTATGAAGATCTGACTTATTTATTAAAGATGGATTCTAATAACTCCCATTGAAATTAACTCTCTTTTATATAATTTAAATTATATAAATATTTAAGTCTCATGTGAGATTTTAAGAATCTTCGTAGAGACTTAATTAATTACATTATCGTGTAGGATAATAATCT